GCGCGATGTGCCGCGCGACTACGTTGTGAAAAGATATTTAAAAAAGAAAAGACCGCGTAAAGAGATCTCATCTTCGCTCGAATTCAATGTATAAAGATCAATAAAGTGCTTTCTCCCTCCCCTCCCCTCCCCTCCCCATCATCACCGCTCGCTCGCGCGGCGCGATCGCGGACGGCTTTTTCATTCTTTCCTCGACATAGATTTCGGCGGTCGTCGCCGATGAAAGCACACTTCCGGGACTGCGAATCGAGCCTCAAAGAGCACGCTTCAATCGCGGCGCGGATAATCGCCAGGCACTTGTTGGCCGCCGCGCGAGCGAGAATAATTCAATTTCGCGATATACGGGGTGTGACTAAAGTAAGGGGCCGAACTTCGAGGGCGAGCTAAACCCCCCCGCCGCATCTAAACAAAGGTTCGCATCAACGTACATTCGCAAACCCACTGAGATACGGAGTTTAACGGAGATGTTTGTCGATAGAAAATGAGAAGGTAATGTTTATTATTATTTAATATTATTTATTTCAAATTTTTAATTGAAACAAATGCAAAGTCAAAGCGCAAGTCTCCCGTTTGCTTCAATAAACGCACGTTGGATCACGGACTGTCGTCCTTTTTGAAAAATCAGCAGGAGCAGCAGTTGCGAACGGCAGTTCACAAACCGAGCAAAGATGCGCGGGATGCGTCTTTGTCGATTTGAACTTCATAAATTAACCCGTGGTAAGGAATTCGGGCCAAACATAAGAAACGCGAGTCAGGCTCGTGATATGTATATCGGGCTAATTGTAAAAAGAACGAGTAAGAGATTCATCGTATGTTGTGCGAGCCAAACACAAGTGAGACTCACTTGCGGCTCAATTTTTACGTGTCTTGATCAATGTTCTGCGTCTGCGATTTGCATTTCGCGACTTGCGATTTGTGTAGACTGGGCATTACAAAAACAACTTTATCACCGACTTTGGCTGTCGCGCTGTCGCGACTTAACCCTTTAACGCCCCATTTTCTTATAAGTGTCTTAAGAATAAAATTTGAATAAAATTTGGTCTTAATGTCTTAAGACTAAAATAAAGTTTTTTTCAACTGAGACTATAAGTAATGATAAGAAAAAAAAATATCAGAATTTTATATCTACGAAAAACTACCTTTCCAATATAAAATAATGTAAAGTAAAATGTAAAATAATAGTCTACTTCTGAATACGAATAAATTTGTATTTCTTCTTGTAAATATAACGGTAAAAATGATAAACATGAACACACTCAGAGATGGTTATCAGAGATGGAAAAACCACGTGAAACAATTATAACGGAAAATCAGCATCAATCGTTTACTTTTGAATAAATGAGTACGTGAAACTTCCGCTTTTCGTTTGTTGATTTCGTTAATTTGGTTCTTTTTTACCGTTCGTTTTTTTATTTATTAAAGTAAATATGACTCGGATCCTAAAAGCATATGAGCAACGAAATGAGCAACCTATACAGAGAGAAATAAAGGGTCATCTACTCGACATAACTCTGATAGTCAGCTTGGCATTTTGGAGCTGAAACTTTACTATATTTGTGAGTGAAGTTTATCATTCAGAGCGTCAAGCTTACTATTTCAGAAGAATATCTTATAGATCACCATTTAGATAGTCAATCGTCCCTTCATTTTTCGCCGCATAAAATACTGTAGGTTTCACGAAAATAGCTTGATTTCTTGATTATCGTGTCCACCATATCGGATTCGCCATTTTGAATTTCTGTTCTTTCTTTTAATTTCACACTTTCACATCTGAGAAAGCTTCCGAATGTATAAAATTATAACAGATACCAATCTATTCATTTGTAGTGCACTTCTAGATGTCAACAACAACGCTAACTATGCCTACCCTTGGAATTTGACCAAACATGTTATCATGAAAACTGAGCTAAAAACAGACTAAACCGAATATCTACATACAATCTATATACTATTTTTTAGAAGAAGAATTCACCTTTACAGTGCAGGTGCAAAGAAAACGAAAAATATCTCCTTTCTTGACTAAATTATGGATTCTTAAATCCGCGTTTCTGGTAATTTGTTACCAGTAGGCGTTAAAGGGTTAAATCATAACGCAAGGGACTAACCCGTAAAAGCTACCGTCAAAGAAAATCACATCAATGCGCGCTCATGAGTGAAATTTCATCCCGGTAGTTTTTTTATTCTACAAATAAAGAGTCAAACGAGTGCGATTCAATGTTTTATTATTGTCAAATTTTGAGATGAGAAATAGACAAGTTATTGTTCGCAACGTTATTGATGCAACTTAACGTTTAAGAAGAACGAAACGAAATTCCCTCGGGGTGTAACTTCACCCGTAGAGAAGCCCTTAAGGGGACCTTAAGTGGACCCACAGATAAAAATCTAAAGGATTGAGCTAGACAAGGACCGACGGGCAATCGTTCCGATTATAAATAAATAGTAAATTGCGTTTGTGTGGTATATGTATATGAACTTCTTTTCATATTTTGCTGCGGAGAGCTCGCGTCCCCGAAGTTTATCCCATTATTCTAGTTACACCCTGTACATGTCGGCACTTAATTCACTCCATATAATGAGCGCTCGCGTTAACATGATGTTTTTTTTTTAATAACGACGCTCGCGGAGACGTTGAATCTTCGAGATCCAACAACAATCGCCGAGGCCCGCAAGAATACGCTGCTGCGCGCGCGCGTGTGTGTGTTACTTTCCGAGAAACGAACAATAACGGATCCTTCCTCCGCTACTTTGTACTGTACGTCGGCTCGGGTCGTTTTGTTACTTGTTACCTTCAACAAACAGACGCTAACGCGGCTATGTTCGCCGACTGTGATCGGGAAATCTGGAAAATTCTTACTCGCGGGGCTCGAGACTGCTCCGAGACTCGCCGACATCGAGGTTAAGTTAGGTCTTTATCTCGCGGTTTAATTCGTATCGCTTCCCGAGCGCGTTTCTCGGATGTAAGAGACCAATGTTTGCGCGAGGATTCAAGCGCGTGCTTCGGATGTCGCGTGTTTTCCGATGCGAAAAGAGTCCCGAAGGAAGAGTCGCCGTTAATTACGACGACAGCGAGGCTGGGAATCTCGTTCTCCTCTCCGAATCGCTCGAGTCGCGCACACCGACGTTTACAAGCGGCGGCGGCGGCGGCACCAAGCAGTCGTCGTCGCTTGTAAACATCGGCCGCAAAGGTCGCGTAAATACTGCGAGCTCGGAGAGAAATCGTCCTGCCGCGGGAGGACACAGGTCCGGCCGCGATCTCGTCATCCGAAAAGTATCTCGGCACATCCCGGAAGTCCCGAAAGTGTTAGTCATCTGACGTGACGTGCGCCGCGCGTAAACAGATTTCGATTCCGTCGCTTCCTCGCGCGCGGGCGAGGTTCGTCGAAGTGAGCGCGCGCGCGAGAGAGAGAGAGAGAGAGAGAGAGAGAGAGAGAGAGAGAGAGAGAGAGAGAACGGCGAGTTGTTTCTCCGCGATCTTTCGCGAGAGTCGACAAATTCCTCAGGCGCGCGGAGAACCGAGCGAGAGGACGAATCGCCGAGAGGCAAAGGCGCGCTCGTGACTTTCAATTCGCGCGAATATTCGACCGAATCTGCGTGAAACATCGGCTATTACTCGACGAAGACTCGCGCGCTTCAACGTGATGTTCAACGGCCGCTCGCGAGTCGTCTCCGGCTCGCGCTGTCGCTCTTTCTCCCTTTTTTCTCCGGCTAATTGATCCTCTCTTTCTCCTGCTGTTCCGCGAGACGCGCGAGCGTAACAGAGAAAGACGCGCGCGCGTCCTTCGGCCGCGCACTCTCGCTGCTGCCGGAGCACGCGACCTGTCACCGTGCCCCCGCCGGATCACACGGCATAACGGCTTCTCGCTCGCCGACGCAAGCGGCCAACGGTAAAACCAGGATACATACGTGGAGACGCAACCGTGTCGCAACTCGGAGCCCTCGCCGGAGGACTCTGCGACGCACCACCGGGCGACGACGACGACGACGATGACGGCGGCGGCGGCGGCGGAATTTCCGGAACGGCTGCGAGACGTATGTTTGCTGCTGTAACCCCGAGCGGCCGAGCGTGCGTGCGTGCGTGCGTGCGTGCGAGCGAGCGAGCGAGCAAGCAAGCAAGCGAGCGACCGACCGACCGACCACCGACCGACCGACCGATCGACCAAACGACCGAACCGACCGTACCCTGAAAGGCGACTGCAGCTCTGAACGCCGCGCCGGTGCTCGCGGAGTGGGGAGCTCGGCCCTCGCTCCGTCTCGCTCACGCTCGCGCCTACAGCGCGGGCGCCTGTCCCCCACTCCTCGGCCGCCTTGGTAGCGTGGCGTGAGCGCCGGCAAGCAGCTCGTCGAAAGAGCGGCGGCCCCGCCGCGAGTTGGCGCGTCGATCGCCAGGTGGCGCCCGACGCCCCGGCCTCGGCGCGCTCATCGTGATAACGGGCTGGTACTTGTGTCCCCCGATATTTCGGGAGCCGATACTATCGAGCGTCGAACCGGTTGTAATCGACGCTTGCTCGTGAAATCGATACGCGTGTCTTCTCGTTAAAGAGTCTCACATATGTTCCCACATTGTTTTTCTCCCGTGAGTTTCTCCATCACAGGCAGCACAAGTCCTGCGGTCAATCTGGAATGCATCGAGGTCCTGGGAGGCGTTCCACGGGACACTCCGGACATGTTAGATCTAGGATGAGGCGTCTCGCGTATCATTTGGATGATTGCTCAAGGATGCGTTGCGCGAACGTCTGAGTGAAGCTTGTAATTGTTCGTAGTCCTTGGTTTCTCTTGCGCGATTAGAGAAAATTACACATCTCGCAGAGAACTGAGTCGGACAGTTTTGCTTTCCTTTTCTTTTTTTTTTCCCCAAAGCTAAAGGCTACAATGTTTTGCAAGATTAAAATTATACGCGATAGTGCAATCTGCAAGCACACATACACACACACATACAGAGAGTTTCGTAATAAAATTTATCTTTATTATTATGAAAATGAACGCTTTACATATGGCTGATGTTTAACGTACGGTGCAACACCGTAGGTACAGTAAAAATTATGCTAAATCGTACAGATAACGAAGAACTGACAAACGTTAAAATAAAAGAAAAATGACCGGAGCGAAAGTAAAAAGTTTCGGCACGTTCTCTCTCGCGTACGCCAATGAAAACTTTTTAGGCGCTACAAAACTCGCGCCCATTATTATTATCTCGCGTATTATTTTACAACAATCGAAGCCGGAGACCTACGATTTTGCAAACAAAAAACTTAACACTCTACAGTCCGGCTTCACCGGAACGAAAGCCTCGCTCGTATTCCCGAAAGCTCCAGTTTGTAAAACACAATGTTCACTGAGACTTGGAGAATCTCCTACACTCAATTAGAAACGCTATATACAGTCGTATCGATCAGTCAAATTTCCAAACTCTCATCAGAGAACTCTCTTCATGTCGTCACAACGGTGAGACTCTACCGGGTAAAAAGCGCGAGAAATCTCGAGACTCGTTAATGTGCAAAGAGATCGATGTGTAATTCTAGCTAGCGGCAGATCGAGAAGACTGGAAACTTGATCGTTCACCTCTATATACCGTACACATTTGGCCGAGTGGGTCTATACGAGAACCAACGCAACGAGGAAAATACGTCGCTCCGTTCCATTATTTTGTTGTTTTATCGCTCTCGACGAATCCGACGATAAGGAAATCTTTACTGTGTCTAAATCCGAAATATGCAAATGTGCCCCCGGGATTCATCGCACGCCGATCTACATAGAACGTGTGCAACACATTTATTAAAATATACCGCAACTTATATGCGAGAACAAAGTCATGAGAAAACTGATTGTTGCGTGCGTGTCGTACCGTGCGTCGTGAAACAAATTATCGCTTGTGAGTGAGAATATAATATTAATAATAATAATAATAAAAATAAGAGAGAGAAGGCTTTTTCTCGGCGCAACACGATTTAAGAAAGGTAGGACGAGACTCTAGGCGACGGTGACTCGATAATAGGGAATCGACAATTTTTCGTCGTCGGTGTATCGTAGGTGATCAAGATGTACGATCGGAAATACTTTGCCCGGAGTACCCCCTCGGGTGCTTCAGCGGTCTCCACAGTGTTCGTCAATTGCAAACTGTACCAAAGACTGCTATCTCTCAAGGCGAGCCATGCTACAACGCATCGCTCGCGACACACTACAAATTTACTACTCGTCTTCTAAAATGAATTTCCCTCCCTTTCCCTCTCGCCCCACGCTCGCTCTTCCCTTTTCTTTCTTTCGCCGTCTTTCCTGTGTGCCAATTGTATGATGTTTGTTTTTATCTTTTCGTTCTTTTTTTTTTCGTCTCTTTACCTATATTAAATTATATCAATATCTGTTTTATTTATATATCTATATATCTATATATATATATATATATTTATATGTATCTATATATATCACGCCAGTCTCGCAATCAATTTAGTAATGTAGGTACACTTTGTCAACGATCACTCGACCGCTCTCTCTCTCTCTCTCTCTCTCTTTCTCTTTTTCTCTCTCTCTCTCTCTCTCTCTCTCTCTCTCTCTCGCTCGCTCTCGTTCTCGTTCTCGCTCTCGCTCTCGCTCTCCTCTCTTCCCGTTCACCCATTTATCTCGAGATGTACGTCAGTTGAAATTTTGTAATAACTGCTGCTGTAAATTATGCTGGCTTCTGCGAACCCTTCTTGCCGATCAGCGATTTATGGATATGTGGAATGACACCTGTAATCAAACAACATGTACATGTAATTTGTTTCACGTAAGAAAAAAGACGAGATATGTCATTTACAAAGTAAATTATATCAAACGTCTCTCTTATTCGGATATGACAAGATAAAAATTATGATACAATAGTGAATATAGTATAAAGGAAAATAAGTGAAACTAACACACAGGTGTAATTATTGACGATTTTCGAGATTACAAATCGGATCGGTGGGAAATATCGAAACAAGAAACATACCTCCTCCTGCAATAGTTGCCTTAATGAGACTATCTAATTCTTCGTCACCACGAATGGCAAGTTGCAAATGTCTAGGTGTAATACGTTTGACTTTCAGATCCTTTGACGCGTTTCCCGCCAACTCCAACACCTGTGCACAGAACAAAAGTGATTGTCGAATGCAATTTCAAACTTTGCACAATGAAGAAAACTTATGTTTGTAATATGAGCAATTGAAAAATTTAGCCATCATACTCCATCCACTTATCCATCAAAATTTTCACGCAATATCGTTTTGAAGTGAATTCACATTATCGTTGAAAAAATATAAACTTGCCATTGTTTACTAGACAGATTAAAATGCACGCGTATCTTAATCCTTAAATAGCAAGAAATAAATTATAAGAATTCAATTGTTAGTCATCGATAAGCATCGATTGAAGCTTTCTTATACGTGGGATTATCTTCAGTGTGATGAACAAATAAAATATAAAAAATAAGATACACAATCGCGTGTAACATTCCGGCACGGTTCGACGAGATCAGAAAACTTGTTCAAAGGCAACGGCGGGAAAGCCCCGGCCATGCTGTTTCAGCGACGGCCTCAATGCGCATGACGCTGCGAGTTACAACGGCCGTTCTCTATCGCGTCTGCGTTTGACCCTTTTCTCTTCTCTCTCTCTCTCTCTCTCTCTCTCTCTCTCTCTCTCTCTCTCTCTCTCTCTCTCTCTCTCTCTCTCTCTCTCTCTCTCTCTCTCTCTCTCTCTCTCTCTCTCTCTCTCTCTCTTTTTTTCTATCATTCTCCCGGACTTTCTCTCTTTCCGCGTTTTTATGACGGTGTGCATATTATTGGACATTAGTATTCAATTATTCGACGCGCTTACAACTATTTTATAGCAAATTAATTGTTACGATAATGAACTTAACAATTTAATGAAAAGATATCGACAGTATATATATTTAGTATTTACAAACGTGTCAATAATTACTTAAAATTATCACTTGAGAACAATTGGTCGAGGCAATATTTCAAAGTTGTTGAAGTTTCCCCTTCATCGAACTTGACAAACAACGCAAATGTCCGAGATATATCCGAGAGACATTTATAAGACATGTCTAAAATAAGATGCCTTTCAAACGTCTCGAGCATGTCTTTAAGATATTTATGCTGTTTGAGTTTCGTCTACAACTCCGAAATTTTTACTGTGATCACCGTCAATTGTTTGTACACGAGAATAGTTGTTGCCGTTCACAATATTTCGCCGCTTCTCTCAGAATGTTGTCGTCGATCCACGTTTGTTTCCCTCTCTCTCTTTCTCTCTCTCTCTCCCTTCACCCGTATCTCTCTCAACAACTCTGTTATCTAACATTTTCTTCCTTTTCTCGACTTGCTTCTCCGATATCACCACGTCATCATTTGTACCCCCGGGGTGTACAATCGATCGTTATACTCGAGCGACGTTAGCCTGGACTTAATAAACAGAGTCTCAACCTCGATCTCCGTTCCAGTGTCAGTTACTATAGCCCTCCCCCTCCCTCCTCTTCTTTTCCTCCTCTCCCAACGCTATTTCTTTCTCTTTCCGTTGACTGTTCTTTCGTCCCTATAGCTCGCTGCTCACTCATTCATCCGCACACACATGTATGCTCACCTCGGCAGTAAGGTATTCCAAAATGGCCGCGCTGTATACCGCCGCAGTAGCGCCCACTCGACCATGACTGGTGGTTCTGTTTTTCAAATGCCTGTGAATTCTGCCCACGGGAAACTGCAAGGATAAGCCGCAATTAGCGCCGCGCTTCCTCTCACCCTGGACTCCGCTTTCCGCGAGGAGAGCTCCTCGACGAAACGCGGGACGCGCGGAACCGGCACGTGCTCTCTACTATTGTTACCACTAATGTCGCGCGGCGAAACGATCGAAAAGTATGACGTCACAGTCGCGCGAACAAACGCATCCGACGATACATGCGACATACGTAAACACGTGTGCAACAAAGTGGAACCTGAGAGAAGCTCGCGGTTCGAAATTTCGCGGTGACGAGTAACACGAGCCCCGGTGCCGAGCGTCATCGTCACGTTTTACTCTCTCTCTCTCTCTCTCTCTCTCTCTCTATCTCTCTCCCTCTCTCTCTCTTTTTCGAGTCTCGTCAACGACGGAGACACCACCGATGAAACGCGATCTCGTGCACTTTGCAGCGCGCGCGCGCGCGCGCAACTTTCGCGTAAATGTGCTTTGCGCGTCCCATTGCTCGATATTTCCCGAGTCGCGAATCGTCGGTTCTTTCGAGCTGCACCTTCCGCACCGCCGTGTGTGATCCGTCTATTTCCATCCATATATCTCTCTCTCTCTCTCTCTCTCTCTCTCTCTCTCTCTCTCTCTCTCTCTCTCTCTCTCTCTCTCTTCTACACGTATTTACGTCAATTCAACACGTTGACGTCGGGGACAAAGTTTTAAAAAAAGCAGCGCGCTGTGTCAGCATGATAATCAGCTACACCGAGTTTGCAATACAGGATAAATATAATGTACTTACTGTACGATACGCTTGTTCGGTAGAAGGAACATTTATCAAAAATTCACGAAGATTCACTCGTAATCGAAATAATCGCAACGAGAAAAAGAGAGAGAGAGAGAGAGAGAGAGAGAGATAAAGAGAGAACAAAATTCGCGAGCGTCAGAGATAACTCGCATTTGGCGGCCGACGTGTGTTAAGTGCAGCCGGTGCAAGTCGGTGCAGCTGCGAGGAACGGATGTAAAATGCGAGGAGAAAAAAAAAGAATAGAAGGTACGACACAGACACAGTACGCGCAGTGTCGCCAAATACACTTTCGCGTTCGGCGAGAGTGTATGCGTGCGAGAAGGAACGGCTCGACGTGTAAAACATGTGGTATCGTAAACGCGTAGCGCGCGAGACAGAACATATGTTTTTCTCGAGGGGAGATCGTAAGACTGGGCAACGCCGGCCTGGTAAATAAAGTAAACGCTATTATGCAAATCAGCGGGATGAACGACGTGGGCGGAAGAGAGAGAAAGAGAGAGAAATACCGCGGAAACGTTCAGACCGAACGTCGCGGGCAGCGCGCGCGCGCGCGCGCACGCGCGTTCGATACAACTCGCGCACGCGAACGGCGGGGCTCGCCGAGTGAAAACAGAAAAGAAAGAACGAAGAAAGAAAAGAGAAAAGAAAGAGGAAAAGGGGAGCCCTATTTCCTACAAAAGTATATCGCAATTTCCTGGGCTCGATCTTTCTCGCATCCGGAGGAAAAAAAAGAAACAACGAAAATGAGGGGAGAAAACGGCGCACGCGCGCACGCATGCCGTTGTTTTCGCGTTTTATATCTGTAACGCGAATTCGCGACGCGTGTAAAACGATATCGGCATCAAGCGCGGCCGAGAAGCCACGTTCCCGCGCCGGCGAGCGCGAAATTTGCGACGCGAAGCGCGTTCGGGTTGTTTATCGGGTTTAGGTAAAACTCGACCACGCTGCGAGTGTATGGTGAATCGAAAAAAAAAACAAAGTGGGAGGGGGAACTCTGAAACTTTGCACATACGCACGTAACGAAGCGCGAAGACGAACGAGGCGAAGGAGACGGGAGCAAAAACTATGTAAATAACGCGTTTGATCTGTGCCCAGCGTTTATAGCCCCCCTCCGCCCCGGTCGATGTATTCAGTCCTTGAGCTTCAGGAGCGAATTTCATAGGGACCGCAAAGCGAGACGAGATGTGAACATTTTCTGAGAAACCAAGAAAATGGCTGATTCTCATCCGTCTGAAAAAGTTGCAGTATAATCGTTACACAAAAAAAAAAAAAAAAAGAAAAAAAAACGTTACACTCAACGGCCCCCGATGCTTCATTATTACTCTCGGGAGTTTCCGAGAGTCTTCTCGAAATAAACGCCTTAAATAACCGGTCTGGAAATAGACTTACTACTTTCCGCCGGGAAAGTTTTCAAAGCGCAGCAGACAATATCACCGACAACTAATCGTTGCTAATTGAATCGATTGTCGCCAACTTTGTGCAAATTCCCCCGTGCACGTCATGCTTTCCGCGCGCGGCGAGCGTGAAGGGAAAAAAAAGAAAGCGAGAAGAAACGTAAACAAATCCCTCACTATCCGCCGCGTCGTTGTGTGTGTGTGTGTGTGTATGTGTGTGTGTGTTCCGTGTTATTTACATAACAGCCGATCACGGCGATAAAGACTCGAGAGAGCCACGCGAGATGGTTCTCTTCCACTCCCCGGAATTTTCGTTCGCATCTGAGTGCCCCCCCCCTCCTCCTCGCAAAGAAAACCCCTCACCGTTGGCTCCGCAATTCGCCACTGACGCATCTAGTGACTTCTGCCGGAACTTCTACCAGCAGCAGCAGCGACAGCGACGGCGACGACGACGGAGTCGAATGTTTTTCGAACGGTACGCAAGCGAGCGCGCGGCTACTAACCGTCCGCGCGACATTCGACTGTCGATCGCGCCGTGTTGGCTAGCAACTTTCGGCCGAGACGAAATATCGAGCGATAAACGGATAACACGAATCTTTCCGCATGTCCGAGACGTTTCACTCGAGGCTCGAGGATGAGCCGGGCTGTCGATCGCGCGTAGTTTTCCGCGAGGATCGCCATTGCGACCGAGTCGCTCTTTCACGGCGCCGCGAACATTCCGGCCCCCGAGACATTCCGGACGATTTCTCAATTTCGGCAGCCCGGATTCTCGTCCGGTCGTCGTCTTCCCGACGAGGAAGATCGCCGCTCCTCCTCGCTGAGAAACGTTCGCGCGCGAATATCTAGACCTCGTCCCGTTCTCGTGCTTCGCAAATATCGAGCGGTACGATTTGGTCTGCTCACTCTCTCCCTCTCGCTCGCTCGCTCGCTCGCTCTCATTCACTCACTCACTCTCTGTCTGCCCATCTCTATCCCTCCCCGCTCTATCTATCCATCTCCCTTTCTCTCTCTCTCTCTCTCTCTCTCTCTGTCTGTCTGCTTGTCTCTCTCGCTCCGCCATCGTCCGTCTCTCCGGCTTTTGGCACAAAATTTCGTCATCCGCGACACACACGTCCCGGGATGTGGCCGTAGAATCTCGCAGAAAAGCTCCGTCGTCTCGAGAATTCAACGATTCCAACGATCGTCGCGATGCGATATTCTTAAGTGGTCGACTCTCGGTCCGCCCGGCCGCTCCGTCCGCTCGCCGTCCGCCGCGTGTGGTCGATATATTGTTACACAATATAATTTTGTCACCGGCGCGGCCGAGATACACTGAGACACGGCGATCGTCATTCCGCGGAGGTGTCGCACTTTTTTTCAGCGGCGGGCAGAAACCGGTGTGCGATCGAGAACCGTCTAGCCGGCGAGAGCCACGACGAGAGACGACGAACCGATCGACGGCACTGCGCGACCAGTCGAAATAAGCGACAAACCGCGCTTTCCTGCACTTCTCGCCGGTGTGCGTTTGACCTCTCCACCGCGGCACCGCGCATACGACACACTGCCGGAGGGCTTCTGTCCCGTACATATATCTGTCGACCAATATTGCCTTACGTTACGTTATATTGTGCAAAATGTCGCGTCCCCGTTCGCATCGCGACTCCGCGCTCGCGTTTCGTCCCGGACTCTCGCGGGTTTGCAGATCTTTGCTCTACTCTCTCTCTCTTTCTCTCTCTTTCTCTCTCTCTCTCTCTCTCTCTCTCTCTCTCTCTCTTCCTCGGTCGGTCAAGCATCTTTGTTCTCTCTGCGAGCCGCGATGTTCCCGCAGCTGCGGAACCGCGACGTTCGCATCGCCACACCGATCGATATAATTGACGGCGATTAATGCACCGTGCATTCTGCAGGGCCCTCACGTATGATTTGAGTGTAATTAATCGCGCGCTAGGCATGTCCATTGTGCGGAATGTCTCGGGGCTTCATCTCGCAGCGCGCTAATCTCTTCCCGAGGTATGCTGCTGCGTGTGCGTGCGTGCGTGCGTGCGTGCGTGTGAATGTAAGCGCGCGCTCGCGCACGATATCAAACAGATCTCGTTGCCCGGTAACGTATTTTCCGAAATACCTCATCACTCTGACCGCCTATTCTCACGAGCCGCTATTAATCGGCCGAGAGCGCGAGGCTGCACGACGTTCTCGAGCTTCCGAGCAAAAGTTTCCGTGTGTTTACAGAGAGCGAGAAACGCGCGACATGGATTTTCGCCGCGACGCGCGAGGAGAGCGGGTGGGGGGGAGGGAGGGGGCACTGACAGTTTATTAGTTAATAATTGAGGGCGTCTCGGTCGTGTGGCCGAGCGCGTCGCGGCACAAGTGGCAATTTTAATTTCGCGACAGCGGAGATGCACGAGCGGCCGATAACGCGCGCGAAATGACGGCTCGCTCGCTTCGCTGGCGAGTTCCTGAAGAGAACGCGAACTCGAGAGACACGCTGTCGGCTAGATCACAGGTAGCTTCTAAAACGGTGGAAACAACGAAAACCCGACCGGATGATGCCTCGTGCGAAGATCGCCGCGGAAGATACGCACTCTCATCACTCGCGAGCGACCGTTCGTCAAGCTTCGGCTGCGGCCGGTTTAAACGGTAACCTGTGACCGACACGACGACGATCTTCTCTCTTTCTTTCTCTCTCTCTCTTTCCTCTCGAGATTCGATCAACAAGTCACGCACGTCGTCGAAAGCGACACTTTTCGAGAGATGACGATCGTCGCGTCGTGAGAACCGGAGTTTTACTTCTTGACCGAGATATCGTAACGCACACTAAATACATTCTTACACTTACACACACACACACACACACACACACATACAGGTGCGAGACACGAGGTTCGAAACGACGCGCATTGCGTAACTTCGATTTTGCTCGATGTTTTGTAGTACAAGCCGCCCGATACTTTTCTGCGAAGACTGCATTCCACGTTGAATAGGCGGCATTCCTCGCACGATGAAGGCGCAACGAAGACGCTCGCACCGGAACGATACTCGCGGCGGCGGCGAACACGCGCGGCGGCGCGACAACACAGCGGCTTTTATCTTTCTCTTTCTTTATGCCGCGGCACGTCCGAGGAACGAGCAGAAGCGACCAATACAAGGCTCCCTGGATGCTCGCGCGGTTGTCGCGTGGTGTGCGCGTATCGGTGAAATTGGCGAACCTTCCGAATCGGTGCCGGTTGATTCCGCGACAAGCGAGTAGACGACCAGTTCGAATTCGCAATCTCGCGCGCGTCTTTCCGCCGGTTCGACCTTTCCGCGTGCTGAATCACATAATTCTGTATGCATAAAGAGAGAAAGAGAGAGAGAGAGAGAGAGAGAGAGAGAGAGAGAGAGAGAGAAAAAGATACAAAGCGCAGAGAAAGAGAGAGAGAGAGAAGGAGAAAAGTCTCCAGCGAGTCGCGCGAGCTGAATTCGCGCGATCGAGACGAGCAGCAGAGCGCGAGCGGCAAAAATTCATTCTCGATTTACGGCGCGGAGTTCGAGGTCGCCGTTGGCTGGAACATCCACACCGAGCACGATCCCCGGGGCGAGCGGTCCAAGAGCAGCGAACACGAGGCGACAAAGCCGGTCCGTCGGCCGTCGCGCCATTTGAAAACGGCCGCACGCGACCGTTTCTCTTTCTGTCTCTCTCTCTCTCTCTCTCTTTCTCACTCGTTCTCTCTCTCCTTCTCACTCACCCGCTCGCTCCACCGTCGTCCGAATTCAAAAAATAAATCGCCCTGCACGAGCGTTTCTCGAAGGTTCGGCGTCTGTCGCGCGTGCACCGCACGGCGTATATTATCTCCTGGCTCGTCGTGGCCGACGAGCCGACGGAGAGGGACTTCAAGCCGGCCATCGCGGCGGTAACGGCCAGTCATCCGGTCGAAGCAGCTTTTCGCGCCAACGACGACTTAACCTGCCTCGGACGAGGGGACCGCGAAAACGCGGACCAGGCATCGCGCGATGCACCGAGCCGCGCGAGAACGCACACGCGACACCATCGATTCTACATACACGGGTCATATCCGTCTGCCGCGCGCGCGATAAAGACAGAGAGACAGAGAGAGGGAGAAAGAGAGAGAGAGAGAGAGATACATATACGCACACACATACATAGATACAGGCACAGAGAGATATAGAGATAGTGAGAGAAAGAAAGAGCGAGAGAGAGAGAGAGAAAGAGAGAGAGAGAGAGAGCCACAGCCAGGCAGCCCCGTTGCCGATGTCGACGTCGACTCACCTGCAAGCCAGCCCTAGCCGAGCGCGAGACCGCCTTCGCCTTTGCCTTGCCAGAGTCCTTGCCCGCCTTTCCGCCAGCCTGTTCCGACACGAAAATCAGCATTAATCCGCGCGATCCGCTGACGAAAAGCCGGCCAGCGCACGGCCGAGGGTCCGCGGCGCACGAGGCTGCTCGCAGCGCCGACCGATGGCCGTCAGCCGCGTCGAAAACTCACAGATACTCACCATTGTGCTACGTGGGACCTCGTAGTTCGCTCGGCACGCAGTGTTACGGACAACCACGGATGACGCCGTCTAAACGCGACGAGCCCGCCAAATGCGCTTGGCGCTGCGGGCGCGCCCGCGGCCGTCCACGTGACCGCGCCGCGGCCAATCGGAGCGAGGCGGTGGGAGCGCGAGTGGCGCCCCGCCGCGGCCGCACTCGGCGAACTACTCGTCCGCCGCGTTTTACCGCGAGCACGACCCGACGTCTCGCCGGAACTGACGCTCTCGTGGCCCGTGCGCGCCTCGCGCATGCGCCGCCTGCCTCTTAGCGCCGAAGCAAACGGACGTTCGGTGACGGCGTTGTAGTCGTCGTCGTCGTCGTCGTCGTCGTTGTCGTCGTCGTCGTCGTCGTCGTCGTCATGTCGTCGTCGAGACGGACTTTACGCTACGGCACTGTGCATGTATCGTGTATGAATAAAAATTATACAGAGGCAAAAAATAGAACGGTGCTGGTTGATTGTATGCTTTGCTTTCTGCGCGCGCGTTTTTTTTTCAGCCGCCCCGCAAGGAACTCTCGCTCCGATCCTGAGGCGCTATTTTGCCAGTTTGCTGAAAAGCCGGATCGTTACTGTTTCTCCAACGTTCGGCAACGTCTTCGAGTCCCGTCGATTTTTGGGAATTTTGTGTTATCTCGGGACAGAGAGATATCTCTATAGATAAACCATGTGTAGACACGCGCGGTGTATTTACCAAGCTTGACTCGAAGAGCGCTCTCGGCGGGGAAAAATTAAACAAGTCTCACAAGAGATGTGGGAAATTGTAAATTTTGTTATTTCTCTGCAAAGATGAGTAAACCAGGTGTCTACAAGCAGACAGTTGCGAGCTAACACTCTCGTAAATAACGTAGACGGATCAGTCGAGATATTTTTACTCGCGGAGATATGAAATGCTCTCGTGAGAACGACACGCCGCGAATCGCGAGTCACGAGCCGCGAGCGACGCGCTGCGGAACGCGTCGCGATTTTCTTATCGATTTTACTCACAATTTTCATACGTCACGCTGTAATTATTCGCATATTTTGCATATATTGCAAAAACGCAGACGACGAGTCGTGGCCGTGGCAGATCGGGACGGGTATGGATGTCGCATACAGAAACGGACTCGGCACGGTCGATATAATGCGAACGACTATCGTGTCACCGGCGATATTGCTTCAATAACTTTGGCCGCGCCGCGAAATCGCGTCGACAAGGTATCGTCGGCGATAAAATTCCTCTGCGATAATATCGATTAACGCAGACCACCGGCCCCCCCGCGAGGGGTTACGCGTACTTGATTCTCAACGAAGATACTTCCGTCTCGCGCGGCAATAAATCGAAACGCATGTAGTAGCGCGCGCGCGCGCCTGGCTGTTGTACGTGTATTTCCGCTAATTAATTGCGATAACAATAACGACGGGTTGCGTCACGCGCCCGTCTGCGGCGTGCGACGAAAGTAAGGTCGGAAAATGAAGGCGATTACGGAGCTGGAGAGAGTGAAATACGCCGGCGGACGCAGGCGAGTATCGCGGCGTTTTCACTCGGAACTCGGCGTGGAGGAAACTGCCTCGAAGTAACAGCATTATTTCTCTTTATTGGCAGAAAAAGGGGCAGTGATTTCATACAAAAGATTGCACATTGGAAAAGGCGTGCGTGGCGAATCGGGGAGACGCGAAAATTTCTGCTATACGGGACGGGCGCGAGCGAAGCTTCCTCTGTCGAATCTCCTCTCGTGCGTTCGACGCGAACTTTGCGAGCGGTGCACGACAAACTCACTCTCTCTCTCTCTCTCTCTTTCTCTCTCTCTCTCTCTCTCTCTCTCTCTCTCCCCCTCGAGAGAGAAGCAAAACGATCAATTTCCACGTAGAAAATTTATCGGATCATCGTCGGGCGGCTGGATGATCGCGGAATCGGACGCAAATGACTCCAAGTTGGTGGTATATACTTGCGGCTTCCTGTAGAATCCCCCGGACTTTCGAATACGTTCGTCCCTCCCTCCCTCTCTGTCTCTCTCTCTCTCTCTCCCTCTCTCTCTCTCTCTCTCTCTCTCTGTCTGTCCGTCTGTCCGGATTTCTAATCGCACGTGAATATTCGTGAAGGAGAACTCTACCGCTCACACGCCGCGCCGCCGCGAGACCCGTTCTACTCGAATTCAAATTAATCGAATCGCGCGATCATAAGTATCGAGAGACGCCGAATGTCGAATGTTCGAAAATACGGAGCCGGGCCGTGCCCGGAGAGAGAAGCCAGGAGGCTCCTCCGTCGGGCCGCCGCGTCGCGTCGCGCAGCGTACTACCACGAATCCGCTGCGATCACGACGTGCTCGGCGACGAGTGCGCGCGAGACGACAGCTTGGATTATTGAGGCGCGGCGGCGACCCGAGAGTCGCCAGCACTGCTGCGGTGTGTGCTGGCTGTCGTGCTCGGCACGTATATCGTGGCGAGAAGGCACCGCGCAGAGAGAGGCGTACAGTAAAGATGCCTCTCTCGCGCGCGTCGCGGTATCGACTCGGCGACGCGTGCGGAGACTGCGCGTTGGCCGCGCTGTCGCCGACCGGAGCGCCAGGCCGCGATTTTTCCCGCCATTTTTACCCGGCTCCCCATCGTCGTCGTCGTCGTCGTCGTCTACTACTGTCGCCCTCGCTCTCGCTCTCGCTCTCTCTCGCTCTCGCTCTCTCTCTCTCTCTCTCTCTCTCTCTCTCTCTCTCTCTCCTCCCCCCTCTCTCTCTCTCTCTCTCTCTCTGCCCCTGCCGCTATGCTGCGCGTCACTTGGCCGGGTCCTTTGCGCCCTCGGCCGTTTGTCGTCCTGCTATTGTTCCCGCTGCGTGCCTCGTCCGTGCTCCGATCGCGCCCGTCTCTCTCTCTCTCTCTCTCTCACCGACGAAGACGCGCCTCTAGTAATGCTCGTGCGCCTCCGCCAGCTCCTCGCACTTGTCGTCTATGTCGTCCTGAAATTAATATTTTCACCGTTGTCCTCGCATTCGTCGTGTAACGCGCTAATAGGGCATCGTCGCTGCGCGCGATACACGCCGCCGTGTCAGAAATTCCCGAATTACTAACGTGATTTTCGATCCCTTTGAATCCCAGGGCGTATTCGGGGGGGAGGGGAGGGGGATGTAATTTCTCTGAGATGTCTTGATTCATCGTTCTATTTTATTCTCTTTCAACAGCTTGTTTCCGGGGTTTCCGTTGCTTAGCAGCAAGTTCCCAAACCCGGGAAGACCCGAGATTCAAAGGATGTAGCCAAGGGATGTATATCAATGCTAGAGGTGTGCGAATTAAGAATCTTTATGTCGAGTCGAGTCGAATCGAATCTCATTTTTTTAAATTCGAATTCGGATCGAATCGGATCTGTGAAATTTCACTCGAATTCGAATGAAATCGAATATGGAATCATTAAAAAACTTAACATGACCATTAAACGTGCAAATAATGATGGAAGATTTTAATATGAAAGGGAATATTGGTATTGTAATATCATCTTAAAGTAAAATATATATTTAAATAATTAAACTAAATTTATAATTATGTTATTAATTATAAGTTAAGTTAATTGCGAGTTAAGGGATCAGACATACACCCATACCCAGACAGGCCCAGTTGGCCCGTTTTGTAGCTGATGCACACAAACGATAATGTATCTGATTCCCATTCGAATTATTCGGATTCGAATCATAGAGGGATTCGGATTCGAATCGGATCGAATCACATTGGATTCGATGCGATTCGATTCCAATTCGAATAGTTGGCACATCTCTAATCAACGCAAATGCCCAAGTTATTCTCGACGAACCAGACGATACCTCGAGATGCTGTTCGAGCGTTCGAGCATTGTGAGACGGTTGAATGGAAAAATCACGTTCGTGTTTCACACAGAGTGGGGGGGTATCGAACACTCGCGTGCTCGTAACGCAAGAATGCGGCTTGAAGGACCTGAATCTAGCCCGGAGGCTGGGTCCGTTAGACGCTTCGTAGTATTCCCACCCGCATACGTCATCGAGTCATCCCGTGTCTAGAAAAAACGCCCCGAAGCACGTGCAGCGCTAAACGGACCGCACCCTCGGTCGAGCGATTATCTCATTGCCCGTTAGCCGCCATTTTGTATGTTCCCCGTTCAGCTCACACACAAGCGCATATTCCTCGCACGAAGCAATTAACCTTTAGAGGACCGGGCTGGCTCCTACAGGAGCCACTAACAAACTCGAAAACTCTACGCGACATGATGGTTACATATACATATATATATATATATTGGGTGTACAAATTAGTTTGGTCCGTTTTCAAAAGATGGCTCCGGCTGTTATGAATGGTTCATAGCGAGTGCCGATTTGGGCGGTTTCAGAGAGGTTAGACATCTGCCAATAATATTCAGTTTATATCGCTTTGAGTTTCATACAAAAACCTTGCTTTTTACAGTGTTGAAAATGTCGAATTTTGTGTCGAACCAAGCAGCATTTGCGGGAGGTTTTAATTTTCTGCTTTAATCGGAAGAAAAGTGCAGCTGAAGCCTATCGAATGCTTGTTGAAGTTTATGGTGGCGCTGCACCAACTGATAAATCATGTAGGGAATGGTTTCGACGTTTCAAAGATGGAGATTTCAGCGTCGAAGACAAGCCTCGCTCTGGACAGCCAAAAAAATTCGAGGACAAAGAATTAGAGGCATTACTCGAAGAAGATCAGAGTGAAACGCAAGAGGAGCTTGCAGAATCATTGGGAGTGACTCAACAAGCCGTTTCCGTACGATTGAGAGACATGGGGAATTATTGAAAAACAAGGAAATTGGGTGCCTTATGAACTGAAACCGAGAGACGTTGAAAGGCGTTCTTCGTGACAACGCTCGGCCTCATGTCGCAAAAGTCGTGAAAAAATATTTGGAAACGCTCAAATGGGATGTTTTACCGCACCCGCCGTATTCTCCGGACATTGCTCCTTCTGATTACTGGTTGTTCCGAAGGATGCAGCACGATTTGGCAGGTCACCGGTTCACCTCTTTCGCAGATATCGAAAATTGGCTCCAAACTTGGATCGCCTCAATAGACGAGTCATTTTTTCGAGATGAAATTCGAAAATTGCCTGAGAAACGGGAGAAAGTAGTAGCCAGCGATGGAAAATACTTTAATTGATCTGTTCATTCATTTTGTTTTGAAATAAATACATCTTTTGACACAAAAAAACGGACCGAACTAATTTGTACTCCCAATATATAAATTTTCCGCGAAATAAATTGCAAATTTTAAAGGAAAGATGCCGGTTAGAATGCCTGAAGGTTAAGCGGCAAGTAGCGTATTACCTCGCGTCTTATCTCGCAGATATCTCGCGGGGCGAAATAGCCGCGTTCGCGAGTTAAACACGCACTGCGCACCGCATGACGTGATACTTTTGTATTACGAATTGCAGGCACAGGCCGGGAAAACGCGCGCTCTCAAGAGAGACGCGCGGGAGAGACTGACGTCGCTCTCCAAGAGTCGGATGACGAGAAATTGAGAAGGGACTCGTTGGTTAACGTTGCAAAAAGGGACAGACACTCCACACGTCTCGTGACTCCAGTGTCTCGTGACGTACACCGTGTCTCACGTGCGCTATCAGGTGCGCGTGTCAAACGATCAATGTGCACGAACGTAAATGCACGAAACAGCGAAAAACCATTTGCGGGCGTAATGGCTCATGTGCGAGGTTGTCACACAAGGTCCTGCCTAACGTTCCCAGCCGACGAGAAAGAAACGACTCGCGAACACACAGTCCTCGGACGACGAGAGACGTGGCTTGGCAGACGAGGAAGTGGATTGTTATTCCGTTCTCATTGGGCGAGACGAGGACAGCGTTATCGGGAGAGACACGTACCTCGTCGAGCTCCAGACACTTGCCCCACTCGATCAGCGTGATCTTGTGATCGCCGTCGGCGTCGCAGGAATCCAGGAAGGGCGCGATGCAGTGCTCGAGGGCCATCAAGGGCGCCTTTATCGGGAAGAGCTCGTGGCGCGACACGGCCCGGTCGTGCGGGTGGCCATCCAGGTCGCACCACTTCCAGATGGCCGCGTTCGCCCAGCGCAACGTGTGATTCATCTCAGCCTCGCGCTGCATCTTCAGGTAGTGCGACGGCAGCTCCTGACGGTCCGCCAGGTCGCGCATGATGTTGAACAGCCAGTCGCGCATTCGCCGGGGGAAATCGGACATCTCCTCCTCCTTGCACATCTGCAACAACGGGCAGCTTCAACATTTCGAGATTCACGAGAGGGCGGACGCTCGCTCCACCTCGTTTGCCACGAGGCTCGTCATAATTATAGTCATTGTAATTGTGTCGATTGTTACTGAAACACAAATCTTTCGCACGCGACAATTGCTCGGCATAAAATTATTATAATTATGATAAACACGTGTATATGTATATGTAACATAATAATTATTTAGCGGAGAGAGAAGAGAGACCGGTCGAGTTAACGCGACGACGTGACGAAGCAAATTTGGTTCGAAGGCAGGAATTTCAAGCTTGAATGAAGCAAATTTGTCTCCAAGAAACGGAAATTCCGTTTCTTTCGGCTTCGACCGAAACGTTCGCTCGGTTCGCTCATTCTCACATTCGGCCAGTCCTTTTCTTTCATGCAAGTATAAAAATCAGACACAACCGAGCCTCGCACAAAATGAGCAGGCTTTCTAGCACTCAAAAAAAGTATTCTATCTTGTAAAGTGATTTCTCCCATAGTCTCATATTCTAAGCGAAGCCTTTTATAGGAAAAGGATTCCTCTTTCGATAAAGCGATTAAAATGAACCATTCATCTAAAATTTGTTAGATATTACTCCAACTGTTTTTCTTTTGTTTCAAGAGAATATCCTTTTATATCAATTAATTTTCCTTTCATATCAAGAGGCTTATCAGCGTTTTGCCTCTTTCATCTACTCACACACTCAGACACTCCTCTCTCTCTCTCTCTCTCTCTCTCTCTCTCTCTCTCTCTCTCTCTCTCTCTCTCTCTCTCTGTGCATATGGCGATCGTCGCCACATTGATTTCATGGACAACGTCTAGAGCAAAGGGAAAAAGAAGAGAGCGTTATTCAATTTGTATCGTTCTTCCCGGTTGTTTCGTCATGAACGAAATTTAAGAATTTTTGGAGAAAATCAACTTAAAGACACACTGGCCCATATTTTCGCGTAAGTACATACATATATCCATTTATCGTATCGCGTTGCACGCTACATTAAATCCCACTTAAAGTAATTTAAAATTACAAACTTATCTTTTTTCCCACCTTTTCAGCAGAGAGTCAAGAAAAATTTAACTAGAATCTTTCCCGGACAGTTTCGTAATAATTTTCTCTCCTTTCCCTATAAAGGAACGTACAACCAGCAAGAATAATAAAGTACGAGTATATAATAAAAGTAAATAAAAAAAACCTCTCAAAAAAAAAAAAAAAGGATTAAATAATCTGTGCATAAGAGGAGATTATTTAATCTTTTTTTTTTATTGCGACTCTTATTGACTTATATCAAAATCAATAAGAGTCGCATTGTACATTGTACAGAATATACAATCCCGCTAACTTTAAGAATAATACGCTTATAATATTTTCCTCTTGATCCTAGAGGAATCCTCCTGAGGCGGCCATATGTAAGAATAAAATCCTCTGCAACAGATTCCTCCGCTTGTTCTGAAATTACTTTCTTTTTCGGGTGCCTCGGCAGAGTTCGCGCGGGCACCGCGCGAAGAGCATCGAATGTTGAAAGGAAAGAGAAATCGTCCGAATTTCTCAAGGAAGAAGCCTCCAAAACGCCCCTCAAGAAACAAATCAGCAACATGTGCGTCTCAGAAGGTCGCGCTGCCCGGAGGACGCTGATTCCAGGAGACCTGGCGAGTTTCCGACTCGCGACCTTCAAACGAATCTGTCCGGTCACGGTGTGGCCGAATACTCACAGGCATTTGCTGGCACTCGCCGTAATACACAATGTGGACATGCTGATAATCGGGGCCTTTGCACCTGGCGTCACCGGTGTCGCAGAAGCAGCGCGCCTGGTAGACCTCGCAGTCGCTGCCGAAGGTCTCGTTGTAGTTGGTGCACACCTTGCGACGGGGATCGACCTCCTGGTTGCAGACCTCCACGCAAACGCACTCGGCCGTGCCCTCCTCCGTGCTCTGAAATCGAAGAGGTCGGACCGCGCTCATGTCTCGCGCCTCGACAACGACAGAGAGGGAGGGGGGGGGGGGATCGGAATGAAAATTTCACCCCGGAATTATAAGATATGTATCGGAGCGTGCTTTGTCCGCGCGTTCACCCCACTTCTAGATTCGACTAAATTCGCATCGGCCGGTCTCGCCGAATATTGAAGGTGAGAGCGAGAGGTCTAAAAATACGCGAATGAACGACACAAGTACATCCGTATTAATAGTCCTTTCGCTCGAAACCTGCCTCAAGTGAGACCACGCCTGCGTAGATGGTCGAAACTTGCCTCAAGCAAGTCGTTCGGGTTATGAATTTACGGTTGGCAACAATTTAACCGACTGAACCGCGACTACATAGTCATGAAACGCCACGCACGATTCGATCCGCGACAACAACTCGGACTTGACTCTAGACAAAAATCTGAACACCTCGCGCATGAGCAAAGTTTCAAGTGACAACCATCGATACGGATCTCTCCAGGGGGAGGCGGGGGGGGGGGGGAGTGGACCCAAAGTCAGACGCGTGTCTTTCAGTGGAGTCGCGCATGTTGAACAAAGTTGCACGTACGACTTCGGCGTAGAGAGAGAGAAAGCTCACGTCTGAATAACATCTCGAAACGGTCAAAGGAAAGAGGAAGGCAGAGCCATGAATATAGCGGGCAAGTGCTTTTCAAGCACTTATTAGCCGTAGCACGCGCCGAATCCACAGCGGAAGGCCCTCCTGCCCATTTGCATTTACATGCGAAGAAGCCCCCTCGAGCCCCTCGACGAACCTTGCAGACGCGACCAGCGCCGCAGTGTTTATCGGTGCACGGATCCGCCAGGAGCAAACGCTGCTGCTTCGATCCAACCTCGTTTCTGCCATTTTCAAGAGTGAGCTCAGCGTCAGCCGCCGCCGCCGCCGCCGCCGCCGCCTCCGCCTCCTCCTCGGCCATTTCGTCAGCTTCCAGCATGTTCATGACCTCATCTTGCGCGGGTGCCTCCGTCGTGGTCGTTCGACGCCGATATTTCCGCTTGCGCTGGGAATTGAGATTGCAATGAGACACGATTCATTCTCTCGGTGTCATCTGTGCGACAGGCGATGCACAGCGGGGTTGGTGAGGGAGGGGGGAGGGGGCAGGGGGAGACGCGCTCGAGCGCCTCGGAGCGCATTGCAGATCGCCAATGCATCGTAAAGGAGAATTTTCCTCTCGCGCGTTTTTCACGAGGAACACATGAAACGCTGGAAACCGAGGCTGTCTCTGATTGTATCACTTTCACTCTTGTTGAAAAAAGAAAAGAAAAAGAAAAACAACACTCACATCTGTCTCCTTCTGTAATACACGAGGCGTCCCCTTAGGAACTTGTTGACGGAAAAGTGCGGCACGCGACGCAACGTGAGTAAGAACGACTGACTGACGTCATCGGACGTTCGCGTTTCAAGACTCAAATGTTACGGCCAATTTGACCGCCGCAAGTAAATCGAAGAATATAGGCTAACCGAAGTCTCGCCCGTGAGATTTAAACAAGGTAACGATGACAGCTTTTCTAGCTTGACAGAGCCAGGAGCCGAGAGACGAGATTAATCGGATCGCGCGAGAAGGAGCGAGAATTCGAGCGGATTTCAAAAAGGGTGAAATTCACTCGAACGTCCGGCGAGGGTAGAATCTTTCTCTGTTCAAACGGACGCGGTCTGTTAAAGCCGGTCGCGTAACTGTGCGCGAGCCACCCGGTACAATCGATACCGTCGCGATGTTGGACGCACAATATCCTCCGCGCGTAATAGGGAAGACGAACGCACGAAAGACACGAGAGAAACTCCGGAAGAGCGTGCGAAATTCCGCGCCTGGAATTCCGACGACTCCGACGCGTTCGGGCAAGCTTGAAGTGACGGGAACGATCGCGCGTTAATCGGCTCTGTTAATCGATACGATACCTGGGCAGACGTGTCGGCGATCAGCACCGCCAGGAGCAGCGCGACCAGCAGCAGCTGCAGCAGCTTCGTCCGCATTGCGATCTCTGGAACAGGTCGATAGCAAGCAGGGATTGTGTACTGCCTCGGAATAGACTCGGAATCGACTTAACGGCTGCGAAACGCGGCCTCGATCTTAACGATACGGCTTGTCTCGCGGTATCGTTGACGCGACTAACGCGCGCCCCGGCGATTTACGAGTCTCCGCTAAACTGCGAGACCCGCTCGCTGCGTACGTCACGTCACGCCGCGGAACGTTCCCGGAGAAGTTCGGTCTAAATACGCGAGATCGAATTAACCGTCCCCCCCTCCCTACCTCCCGCCGTCACTTTTGCCGTGGGCAAAAATCATCGTGACGATGTCCGATCTCGCGACGCGTTTCTCTAAATCGTCACCGCTCGCATCGCGGATCTCTTGGACTTGGTTCCCGCAGCATTCGAGAGGATCATCTTAGCTCTGCCGCGAATCATCCTCGAAATAATGTCGTACTTTCTTGAATTACATGAGTCGCCAGCGTGTTTCTCGAATTTTCCGTAAAAAACTTGAAAGTGTCTCTGAAAGAAAAGGAGAGCCGCGCGTGAAATCGATTAGCTTGGAGAAGCACTCAAAGAAAGGTATTCTATTTGTAAAGCGTCTTCTCTCCCATAGTCTCATATTCTAAGCGGAGCCTTTCACAGAGAAGGGATGCCCCTTTCGATAAAGCGATTAATGTGAGCCATTCGTCTAAAATTTGTTAGGTATTATGTTCTAATATGTTTTTCTCTGATCTCAAGAGGATTTCTCCTTATATCAATTAATTTTCCTCTTATACAAAGAGAAATATATGTTGGTCTGAATATCGTCTTCTTTTCTTCAGTCATGCTCTACCTTCAGATATGAACGAAAAAATTACCATATGCTCATACATATAGTCAGAATATTTCGGACGCTTTTTAAAAAAAGGTATGTACATTGCTGCAACATACAACGAAGATAATTTACCCATATTTGGTCAAATGCGGTTTATAATCTATTGCAAGAAGTTGAATAATATATTCTTTCTTTCAACCATGTTTCATACGATTGATTATGACAAATATCTTTATAGCTGTAAAGTCCGTAACAAAACTGATTGAAAATTTATTTGTTATGATGATCTTATTTCCTTCGTGCTTATTTATTGTAGAACTGGAGCCAGAAGTACATATATATATATATATATATATATATTACTTTTCGCTATATTATAATGATTTTTTTCAAATTAACTAGTATAACCAGTAAGAATAAAGTACAGTGTGAGAACAAATAATAATCCTCTTAAAAAACGATTAAATAATCTGTGTATAAGAGGAAAGTTATATTAAAATCAATAAGATTTGCATTATACATGTAACATATATAATCCTATCTGTAACTTTAGGAATAATGTGTTTATAATATTTTTCTCTTAATCTTCGAGGAATCCTCCTGAGGCCGTATACAGAGCCATATTTTTTATTTGCCTAATATTAGTTGAAATATTTAAGGAAAACTTGGTAGGTTTTTCAACATTTAACTTACGATATCTCGCTAACTATCATTCATCGAAAGAAAAAATAGTATTAGACTTTTTTACTTTATTTACTATCAAGAATATATTACGATAATAGTGCCCTAACTTTTGTTAATTTAATAATTTTGAAATTTCCAAAGGTCGATAAGTTATAACAAAACTTAGGGCACTATTGTAGTAATATATTCTTGATAATAAATAAAGTAAAAAAGTCTAATACTATTTCTTCCTTCGACGAATAGTTAGCGAGATATCGTAAGTTAAATGTTGAAGAACTTACCAAGTTTTCCTTAAATATTTCAACAAATAAGGCAAATAAAAGATGTTTCAGACAAAAGTTGTTCAAATTAATCGGTAAAAAAAGAAGATATAATAAAAAATTGGGCTTTCTGTTCTCAAAAATTAAGTTGACCTTCAACTGACCTTGAAAATGCCCTCCAAATAAAAAACTGATAATGCCATTCTCTTTCCCCCTTCGAAATCATGGAAAACGTGTTTTAGCTTTTTTTAATATATTTCATAGTTTTCGAGATTTTCTAATGCGAAAGTTAAGATGGGGGGGGGGCGGGACCCTGTATGAGAATAAAATTACCTCTAAAATTTAGATGATTCCGCTTGTGCTGAAATTACTTTTTCTTTTTTTAACGAGCTAATTCCCGACATTCCCAGGGGACACGAATCTCCAAAAGGGACATCTAGAAGAATCGAGCGTCGGGAGATTTTCTAGAAGTTTGCGCCGCGCGCCCGGGGGTCCATTTGTTTACTCTTGTCGCCGCTCTTCGGGGGCCGTTACGTCGAACTACGCCGAGTATCGTCGCACCGCGAGAGCCTCGCTCGTTCATCCATCTCTCGCGTAATATGACAAATCGGCAAGTCTCCGAGGGATCGTCAGAGGTTCGCGCGAGGGTTCTCAGAGTTCGCGTCTTCGCGCGCGGAGGCGGGCTCCTCTGGAGAAACCGCTTCGGAGAAATCATTTCGGAACGGTTCCAAGTTCCGCCGGCGACGAAAGAGGTTAATATCCCGCCGGGCTAAATCAGTTCCGAGCTCGCCCGTGCGTACAAGTAAATAAATCAGCCATCGTTTCTCGCGCGCGCGCGCGTTTTTATCGGCGAAAATGGCGGCGTTCTCGCCCGACGCCGCGGTGACGCGCGACGGATGAATCGTGTTTCCTCGCGCGCGGGACCGCCGGCTCGACTGAAACCGCCCTTAGACTGCAGTTTTTAGTCCTTCCAGGTACTCACGTGACGACGTACAGACGCGATACGCGCAAAGCAGGACATGGAGAAGAAATAATTCCGGCTACAACGCGTATGACGCGCGATCGCGTGTCGCCTCGCAGGCGCGGCGGGTCAGCGCGCGAGTCCGGCGCAAGATAAATCTTGCCTTAATAGGAGCAACGAAGCGATAACCCAGATACTTGAAAAGCGTCGTTTCAGAAGCATCCGAACGGCTCGCGCGCGTGCGTTCGTTGCGTCTTGCGACTCGCGTCTCACACAGCGCGACCGACCGACGCGTTTTGCGCACCAATGCGTCGACCGAAGCTTACCTCGAGCGTCAGCTCCGTCCGCGGCGAAGACTCGGATTAAGCTATGATCGATGTCGCTGGAAACTGACTACCGCGCTCCTCGGCGATAACGAGGAGCACGCGAGTCAGCGATCGACGATCGCCCTCGTCAGCGGTGAAATCCGAAGGCGATATACCGTCGGCTAGACATAATTTTACTTAGCTCTGTCACTTGAACGTACTAGCTTGGTAATATTCGCATCATCACGAAACGCTAAACAACGAAATGGTGCGAATGAGTATCGAGAGGCGACGATACGAGCTGTTGAGCGGACAAATAATGCGGAGATCGATAAAACGTTCCCACCGCGCCGCCGCTTTTACCGAGCTGCGTTCATCTTTTATCGCGACGAGACGGCCGAAAACGAGCGCGGCCTCTGTGCGCACGTGTGGAATGTTTCCAGAAGACCCGCGACGTTTGTACGCGGCAACATCGACGCATAAATAAATATCCTATCGGGAGGCGGGCGATGAAACGCGGCCGTTTCCTGTCGCGTCGCGTCGCGCCGCGCCGCGCCGCGCCGTCCGCAAGTTAAGCGCGTTAAGCCCGTGTCACACTACGGGTTGAAGATCAATGATCGCGGATTGGAGATTAGATTTCGACGAATCGACAAACTGCGCTTTTGATTTGCTTCGTTCCGATTGGTCAAATTGCAGATCTTCGATCCGCGATCCTTCATCCTTCAATCCGTAGTGTGACACGGGCTTTACGGGCCGCCCGCTGCTGCAGCGACCCTTAATTCCGTTTAATTGCGTTTACGACCCGAGATATGCGCGGGTTCGTTGAGTCGTTGAGTTCCGATCAATCGGCGAATTTGCTCACTTGGCGACTGAGAGACAGGCACGCGCTCTTTTCTCACTTCCGGCCGACGTGGGTCTGCGCAAGCGCGGATGACCGAGACGACTGAAACGAATTCGACGGCATTCACGTCTTTTCGCGTCTTTGCGATAAAGAAGGTACTCCTCCGCCGCGGGTGAGACCCGAGAATCAAATGAAATTCGTGGAAACGAAATATTATACCATGAAACAAAAACACGCGCGCGCGCGCGCGCGTGTGTGTGTGCGCGCGTCGCGTGCGCGAGCATGTGTGAACGCGAGGGAGCTACATTGATAACTGTTATCACTCTCCGTTGCATCGTTGATTTTAAATAAAATTCATTCTCCTCTGTTTATTATTCACAGGACTACGATCATCGGACCAGATGTCGACGGCTATCACTTCGGAACCGAATACCGCTCGTATACGCATGTGTGTGTGTGTGTGTGTGTGAGAGAGAGAGAGAGAGATAAATAGATAGGCAGGGAAATAGATCGAGATTGGAGGCAACCAATAAAAATCTTTCTACAGCTGACGCATACAACGTCGCTATAAGGTATCAAGAAGCGCAAGAAGAAAGAACATGAGAGAGAGAGAGAGAGACGGGAGGATATCCACGTAACAGGTTAAGGTCTCGATTCCCTGGACACGACACGAGAAGAGAAGAGGGCCATCGGTGAGGATTCGCGCAGTCGCCGGCCGGAGCCGCGGCGGCGCAGCGCGCTCGCGGAGCGTCACGCGGCTCGGCTCGCGACGCGAAAGCGAACGCGTCGCAGCGCGCGGCGAGGCGCGAGGCGGAGGCGAGCTGTCGCGTAGGAATCGCGACGTGCGTACGGTCGGTTTTTTTTATCGCGTCGCCGATCGCGCTCGCTCTTAACGTGGGCGAATCGCTCTGGCCTGTCCATGAGCGCGTGAACGCTTTTCACGAGGAGTCGACGTAATCTGCTGCCGTCGCGGCCGATTTGCGCGCTAACGCAACGTTATGCGCTCTTACGCAATTACGCGGCGGCATCGCGCTGACGTTACTTTCGAACGCTTCTCTCTCTTTCTCTCTCTCGATGCGGCTCTTCTCGTTTCTTAAGCGACGAAACTTGCTTGAGAGTGAGTTCTCGGAGAATTTGAGTTCTCCCTCGATGCAGCGCCGGCTGCGTCTCAACCGGCTTGCATCGGTCCGAGCATCGCCGAGTGTGTCCTCGGCTGCGAGAAAACGTTACTTCCAAGTTCCCGAGCGCCTAGATCAGTCATTACACGCCCACGGGAACGCACACGGAATTCCACGAAGCACGAATTATCGGGGACACGAAGTCTCCGCCATGTTC